TACAAAAGTTTATCATTTGATGTTTTACCTCATGCATTTTATTGTTTTATCAAAATAAACACTTAATTCCATTTTGATTCTTGCAAGATATTTCAAAAAAGTTGAAACAGTAAAAGATTTAACACTTTGCTATGTTGCCATTCTTTTTCACACTTAACGACATTATTGGACTGAAGATACCAAGCATTTCAGGTGTGATTCTTCCTGCAAACAAGTTTGAAGGTGTGCAACAGTAAAGGCACGCATTTTGTTTTAAAATGCACCACACAATTTTTATTGAGGAGAGGCATGCCAGTCCAGCACCTGCACCCTCTTCCTCCATAGCCATGCATTTGTAATGTGTGCAGAATGTGGTTTTGCACTGTCTTGTTGAAATATGCATGGGCAACCCTGGAAAAGATGTTGTCTTGAAAGCAGCATATGTTGCTCCAAAATCTCTGTGTACTTATTGCCACTAATGGTGCCATTGCAGAAGTGTGGGTCACTTTTGCCAAGGGCACTGACAAAAACCCATACCATGACAGACCCTGGTTTGGATGTCTGGATTGTCTTGATGGTCCTTTTTACCCCAAAAAGACCTGAAATACTGATTCATCTGATCACAATGCACATGGTGTGACTGTCCATCCCAGATGCCTCTGAGCTCAGAGAAGTCGTTTCTGAACACAGTCACCATAAGCCTTCCTTTGGGCACAGTAGCAAGTTTTAACAGGCATTTTGTGGATGTAACTACATATTGTGGTGCTTGACAGAGGTTTGCTGGAGTAATCCTGAGCACCATGTGGTTAAATTGCTTATAGACAAATGACAGTTTTTGATGCAGCACCGTCTGAGGGATCAGAGAGCACAGTTATTCAGCTTAGGCTTGAGTCTTTGACCCTTTATGCACTGAAAACTCTTCTAGATTCCTTGAATCTTTTAGCTGTGCTAGGCACAGTAGAAGGTAAAATATCCAAATCCCTTCCTATCTTGCTTTGAGGAACATTGTTTTTAAACATTTTGATCATTTTTCATGCATTTCTTGGCAAACTGGCAATCCTTAGCCCATCTTTACTCCAAAATTACAAACTGAGAAAACACAGGACCTGAGGAACATAGGGATGACCCCTCACAAAAAGCAAAGAGATACTTGGATAATTGCAAGCTTAAGTGATTCTGTACATGATTTTTAATCATATGGTGTACTTTCATGCCATTGTCAGTGCTATATTCATGGTGAATAGCCATAGTCTGCAGTCACCTTTAAAACAAATGAATTACTAACGAGACAACTCTTTAATTGCAGTGTAAAAGCACTTTAAGACCTTATTTATACGTCTACAGCAGCCAAATGAGCGCTAGATCACTGTAAGCATCCATTTTTAGCAGTTGAAATTGTGTGAAAGCTTTGAGGTGGGAAGCAGGAAGCTCTAAGTGCCCAAGTCCCAGTCACAAATGCAGCACATGGCTTGTATGCAAAATCAGTGGCATATCTAGGACTTCCAGAAGGCCTAGTGTGACATTTTTCTCACTAATTGATCCCACACATTGAAGATTAAGACATGTTTGGTTAATTTCAATGTCACTTCCTGACTATGTTGGTGGTTACATGTATGGCATTCAGTTCAGCTCCTAAAGGCCTAACCAATGGGAGAGCTTGCTTTGCTGCAGCTACCTGAATATCATGGGAAAAAACATCCTGAATGGGTTTCCATTGGGCATTTCAACATCTTAACCATTGTGTTTTCCCCCAGTTCCCAGACATCATTAGTAAAAGGCTCGTAAAAAATATACTTTCCTTTTCAAATCTTTATTTCATCAGTTCAATCCATCATAACAGATATCACCAACAAATAGCATCTGAATCGGAGCTTTTGCAGTACAAAAACTGAATCACTGACTATGAAACTACTTACTAAACAAATCTATAAAGCATATAGTCATAATATATTGCTATATAATCTCCCACAGTACAACTTACACCTATAGCTTTTACATCTGCATTCAGGAAAGATATGCATAGATTTGTATGTATAGAGATATTTTTGAATGTAAATATATTGCACATGAACAAAAACAATCAACAAAAGACAAAACAATCTACTGGTCTATGTGGTATCATGTGATATGTATATTGGTACTTATGCTACATTATTCTTTGTCTTTTAGCGTATTTGCATTCCTTCTCTTAAGCCTTACATTTTTAGCAATAAAACAGAACAAATTTGTGCTGAAAGTAGTAAAACAGTGTGCAAGCTCCAAAAGACCACTGCACCTGAAAGTCTTTGGATCATAAGTATCATATTGTCCTTTTTCTCTTTGCTGACATTACAGTTACAGTACTACCGGAAGTAAAACTTTCTTGGAAAGTTTATTCATCACCTTTAATGAATAACTGCATATGCTTTAAATCTGAATTAAAAACATAGTAAAACATAAGTGGATAAAATATAAACTGGTCCCATATGGCAGAATATTGAAAGCCCTTATTGACAAAATAGCAAAGTTACTCACAGATCAGCAGAAATTACAACACTGTGTGGCCGCGCACCATGATTTAAAGGGAATTCCATCGATTTTTCAACATTTCTGCATAACTTAATGATTAAGCTGTAAACAAAGTCATTCAGAGTATTTTGATGTGAAATGCTTCGTTCCAGAGAAAATTCCCAAGTTAGAACTGCTCACAGTAGTGGTGATAGGAACCAGACATCTGAAGAGTTTAATGCCTTTAAAAAGCTCCCTCACAGAAAGTTATTACACATAATGTGTATGAATACATGGCCTGATGCCTGAGACTTTGTTCTGAGATGAGCTTATGGCCTGAAATGGACAGTCTGAATTTAACTAAAACCTAGAATGTTGCCTGTTCAAAAGTTATAGAACATTTAATATGTACATTTTTTCCAATAATATTTTTTTTAGCAAATAATAGAAATTCTGCACTAAAATTTGCAGAGAAATGCCGTGTTTGTTCAATTAAATAAGTTTGTTGAAGTGTGTTCTCTGTAAAGAGTGTGTTACCTTTGCAAAAAAGTGTACATTTTAGGCCAGAAGCTTCTGAACTACTAGTATCTCAGAACTATGATTAAGCAGTCTCTGGCATCAGCCAGCATATTCATAAACATTTCTTTGATTTTTACAGGTGTTATGAGGTGTATGTAGGGTGTTGTAAGACAAAAAAGTTAAAAACTTAAGGAAAAAACTTATTTTATTTATTTTTTATGATTTACCGTTATTTTACCTTCACCAACATTACATATATTTTTGTTTCTGTCACCAGCACTGTAAAGAAATCAGTGACTATTTCACGTCAGTCCACTTTGAATGACTTTGTTTGCATCACAACAGTTGAATTATGTAGAAAATTTAAAATAATGGTGGAACTGTCCCTTAACTGCCCAAAAGGCAGAGGAAACACTGAGCGATTATTAAAGAACATATATCTGTTCATGCTATTTATATTACTAACACTTTATATTGGAGGATTTTTCACTCCAGGCCTGGAGGTCTGATGTCCAGCACAGGTTGGCAACTGACAGATAAAGCAGGTGTGTTTGAGCAGAGACATCACCAGACTGAACTGGACAGCAGCCTTCCAGGACCAGAGCTGATGAACCCTGTTCTACTGCTTCATGACTGATTTGTAATTGGATCCTGGATTCCAGGGCTGTCACGATTAATCAGTTCAATTCGGTGAAAAAAGATTCTCTGACTGGTAAAAACAGAGCCTGATGGACTCTTCATACACATTTTTTGCCACATAGGATTTCTGTTTTTTCAGTAAAATATTCTGCTATGCATATTTATTAGCTACGTTTACATCCAACGGATTTTTAACAAAAGCACTTTAATGCTCCAAAAAGTTTCTGAATGTAGGCTACGGAAATGGAAACTGTCAGTTGTACTTTATGAATGTCAATAAAATTCTGTTTCCATTTAACCTGAAACGTCGCAAAAGTCTACACTGGAAACTTTTTTCCGCAAACATTAAAATAGTAAAACTGAAATGTTCATAAAAATAAAATAAGTATTTAGGCATATATTTAATGTCATGTGACCGAAGTCAACAAAAAAACAATTGAACTCATAAAGGACAATACTCAAAACAAGGCTGCAATAATGCTTAACTTTGCTTAATGGCAGTAAAAAGAAAAGTTTTTTTTTTCTACTTTTTTTTGTTGCATATATATATATATATATACACACACACATATATATATATATATATATATATATATAGTAACATAAATAAAGTTTTTTTTATATGTATATTTATAGTAACATACATAATTGGGCATTAATGTTATGCGCATGTGCATATGTAAACAAAAAATAATAACAGAAAATAACAAAGTTCTTGCCATTGTTTACACTAATATGATAGAGAAACAGGATCTATTGCGTAACGGTTCTGACAGAAAAAAATAAAATGTATATATAAATATATGTGGGAAAGTTGGGGAAGTCAAAGGTACACATACATGAAATTAGAAAGGAAACATGTTAAACTCTTTTTAATCGTTAAACCAAATGATGCACAGGAAATGACATCATTATAAGAAGCCGTTTTCTCGCTAAAAGTAGTTTGCAGTTTAATGGAAGCACACTCGCTATTAGACAGCATACGTTGCAGATTTTTAATGCAATTTCATTTTATTGCATGTAATTTGGACCGAAAGTTGATGGAAACGTAGCTATTCTTCTGTTTTTCTGTATTTATGTATTTAGGTCTTTTTTAAATGTCAAAATCATCAAAATAATTGGTAGATTAATCAATTACAGGTAACCAATAGTGACAGCCCTCATCCATTCTGGAATTAAAGCTTTGCATTGCAAATTTTATTATTTCTGTGATCAAAGCATCTCAAATCCTTTATTGTCACATTCTGTCAAATCCTCACATTTTATACATTTTATCCAGATGCAACAGTTCAGTTCTTCTCACTAAAATACAGCCCCTGCAGTGCAGCGGTCAAAATAAAGTGAATATTTAATTATCCTTTGTCCACTCATTCTACTTACTTATTTTACCCATCCTGCTTCCAGAACATCCGCTTTCAGAACGTATCCCGAATTCCTGAATTCTGCAGAATCATTAAACTTTTTTCTCACACATATTCTGATCTCCTTCTCAGAGACAGTTCAGGGTCGGTATGTCCTCCTTGTAGTGGAATGGTCGTTGGCAGTGGACACGGCTCCCCTTGCAGGCAAAGACAGGAGGTGACAAGCAGTGAGCCAGCTGCTAGATGCAGGAAAGAAGCCCCCCAGCCCCAGAACAGGGCGTCCCCGAACTCCCAGCGTGGGACCACGTCAGGGACGGTCTCGTCGAAGAACTTCAGAATGGTCAGGTGGGCTACATAGGACACGGGGACCAGGCCAAGAATTCCTGCAGCCAAGCACAGTGTCCCGCCCAGCATCTTGAGGGTGCGCTTGGCTTTGAGGGTCTCCATGCCCCTGCAGCTGTTCACCACATAGATCCCAGGGATGGCCAATGTGAAGCCCATCAGGCTGGTGGCCAGGGTGGCCAGCATGAGGATCCTGGCCAGGCGGATGTCCGGCGGCAGACCCAGGAGGCTGTCATATGGTCGGCACTCCAGCACCCCCAGCTCCTGAACCACGCATGTCTCCCACAGACCCAGCTGATAACTCTCAGTCGGCAGGAGGTCCGTGTTTAGTGTGAGCCAGCAGGACATCAGAGTGGTGGTCAATGAACACAGCCAGGCGGTCAGGGAGAAAAATATGCCGAGCAGCTCCAGGACGCACACACCCGGGTCCATTAGAGCGCTCCAGCTGTGCCAGTATCGTAAATCTAATCTGTGAACGAAAAAAAGGACAATTAGATACGTATGATTCAAAGACTGACCACGTGCAGTGACCATTTTGGAGCTTGCATGTCTTTTTTGTTGTTTTCCTACTTGCAATGCAGAAATTTGTTGTGTTCTAATGATAAAAAGATCTGAACGTGTAAAAAGGAAAGGACGTTTGCTTAGAAATGTTCTTTAAGGAATAATGTAGCATCACAAGTTCCACATTATTAGCCAGAAATGTTTCTGTTCATCTATTTTGCATTCAAATATATTCATACATATACAAATCTGTGCGCATCTTTCCTGAATACTGTTATAAAAACCTATAAGTGTAATTACACCAACAACACTGGGGAACCCTCAGGGACTTCTAGGGCTTCAGAGAAGGCCTAATGATTTCTATGAAATAAAAAATAAACATCTGTAGTTTTAGCTGATTTTTATTTAACATGATCATGTTTGTTTTATTTAAACTCTGCAAGTGTTGCAGTAATAGTGATAGAGCTCTTCCACTGGTTAGGACTTCAGGAGCTGAACTGAAGGTCTAATGTGTCAGATTAACCACTAACATAATTAGGAACTGACAGCTGAACCAACCAATCATGTTTTGATTGACAATGGGTAGGACCGATATTGTAAGAAAAAGGTCAAAGGCATCTGGCTATGCTAGATATGTCACTGACTGCTAGTATAATGATGGCCTGACCAATGCATTTTAGTCAGACATTAGAAATAGAAAACAATTGCAACTCTATGCTACTTCACTAATGAAGTAACTGTAAAACTCCTGTTAAAAAGAGCCTTTTTGTCCTTTCAACAAAAATCACAACAAAAAACAACATTTTATGTCCATTTTAACATCTTATCTGTAAATACGAGTCAGTATGTGCTAATGTGTTAGTATAGACTAAAAAAATATAATATAAATGAAAAAGCAGGCTATAGCCGCTTTTCTCGCATCTCTGGCAGGAGATGTTTCACAAAAGTATACTAATTTCTTGTAAAATGTCTCTCAACAGTAGATTTTTTATGAGGCTGAAGTCAGCTTCTCATTCGCCAGCTTCTTTTTATCATTTTCCTGCTCCACCTTAAATGTATGTAGCTGCGGGGCAGTAAAAGAGCCACATGTTGCCGACCCCTGATCTATTACCTTAAATAAACCACGGAATGTCCTTTACAAGTTTCAAATGTCCATGTTTAATCTAGAGTGGTTCAAAAAAAAATTCATGTGAACCGTCATTAGCTCAGCGCTAACATACAACTAGAATCGCATGGGGTGCTAGTAGAAATTAGCATTGTTGTAGAGGAATTTAGACATTTATGGCCTAAACTGAGGGCCTTGCTCTTAATGCCATGGTTCACCACTGGCTGACAAAGTACCGACATACAGTGCTCAAGAGTAGTTGTGTGAGACCTCTATCATTATTTGTTCTTTAGATTTATTTAATTTGTTAATATATTATGGAAATTGTGCTTTGTTATATTCAAATGTACATAACTATAATATTTCTCTCAAACTGTAATGGGGATTACTCAACTTAGTACTTCCTAGAAAAAGTATCTCATTGCTTATTCTTTTATTTCATAATGTGAAAATAGAAGATTCAATAGTGATTTTAGTACTTTGTTCAGGAAGAAATAACCAGACATTCCTAATGTGAGGGATGAATGGCCAAAGCTAGTTAACACCTGATAATAGCCAGCAGAAACAGTTTAAAACAGCTGCTGAAAAAAACATTAACAAACTCTAAAGCTTACAGAGCTGCTTCTGAAGGATAATCAAGTCTGGCAAGTTCAGCTTTATTCGGTTTAATATTAGCGTGATTAGATGATCTGACAGATTTCTCGCAGAGTTTACGGCGCTGACCGCGCTCGCACTGCTTTGCTCACGATTACAATCAGAGTCATGCAGTCAGCTAACACCGGCAGCACATGCAGTGCAAATTATGCACAATAATAGGCATGTGTAATCAACGTGGGGCAAATACATGTTTAAAACACATTCCCAAAATTAATTTGGTTCTTGGAGATGTACAGTCATTTGCAAAAGTTTGAAATATATATTTTTTTCAAACTACATGCTTTGCTGAATGAAATGTGGTCTGTATAAAGGTTATGGCACATTTTATATTTGACGTTTTATTTTTTCCTTACATATTAAACGCAGTGTTAAAGTGTGCAGTACATTTTCAGACAAATTCCATATTTAAGCTGAGGATGTGTTAACTTATTTTACTTATTTTCTCAACAAAACATGTAAGTTGACCGGGGTGTTCAAACTTTTGACACACATAACATAATGAAATCAGATGGTGTAATTTGGCTACAAGAATTTATACCTTAATGTGTTACACTACTTTGTTACAGGACAAAAGCTGACATTGCTGAAATGCGCTGTTATATACTGCGTATATCCTTTGATTCCAACTGCTCTTAAAAGCTTTCATCCAACTCTCCATCTTACTTCAAGACAAATGTTGGGACTTTAGCTCAAAAGCACACATGGTATGTTTAACGCTGCTCTGAGAAAGCCACTATGCAGCACACCTCACCCTAAATATCATTACCATTCTGAAAGATATTGTGGTAACACTTTATTTTGAGTGGGCATGTTTTAGATGAAATAAACACTCAACAGACTCTCAGGAACATATCAAAAACATATGAGGGTTTGGATTAGTACCTCAACAAGATATTTACCTCAGTGCATTCAGATGCTTCACTACTGCTACTTCACTGATGTTGTTGATGTGTTACTGATCACCTGTTAAGAGTTTATTAATCATCTGCAAACGACCACTCCAAATTAAGAGTTATTGATATTGCTGTAGAAAATTGCAATGAGATGAATTAATCATTCTGAAAATTGCTGATTTGGTTAAAAAATGTCTGTAAGAAAGATGACAGGTACTTCAAAGATTCCAAAATAAATTCAAATTAAAAAAAGGAATTGAACTAGTGAAAAGAGACAGGACATTTGGTCACTTTTTGGCCATCCAAAAAAGAAAATCCAACAAGTCAGGTTGAGGGTCAGTTGTGCAAACTCATGCACTAGAAGGCAAGAATTTAAGCAGTCATCCAAAAGGAGGGATGTGTAACAAAATAACCTTAAATGAAGATTAAAATAGTAAATGTGTTTCGTGTTTGTCCCACTAATGTCTGATGTATCGGCATCATTTTGAGTTTTAGTTAGTAAACCTCGTTGTTATTGCTTTTCTGATGGATATGAATGAGTAAATTGCTTATAAATATATAGCTTAGAAAATAATTGATGAACAAGACATGAACTGTATTCATTTGTGAAGTCCACTTCAAATGGAATTCCGATAGAATTTAGTTAGAATTTTAGTAATATGATTTCAGAATGCATATATATAGAAGCTATGAAATTACATTTAAAAAGTTTGTCACTACTATATGTATCAACTACTAGCACCAATATGCACATTTCAATGGAAAAGTTTGGTCAAACGAATGTTTTGTTGATTTTCTAAGTGAAAATAAGTTAACAGATCCTCTATAGAGACACACCTCTACACATTTTAATGCACAATAACTTATTTGCTGAATTTGACAGGTTAGGAAAGAAAAAAGTGACATTACGTAATATACAACATAACTTAAAATGAGGCCTGTGCAAAAAGTTATGGCACATTTTATACTTTTACATCTCCACAATATTTTTTTCTCTCCAAAAAAATACATCATTCGGCTGGGGGCACCCAAAGTTTTGCATTAAGTATATATACCACCTGTTATATATATCCCAAGTGCTAATGTATATATCAACATATCAACTCATGGAAGAATGAAAGTAAATATAGTTACCAATGTGCTTTAAAGAATAATAATATAGCATCTCACAACTCATATAAGCACCAACCTAAATATGAGCCATTATCACAGTATAAATTACCTGTTATGTGTATCCTTGTCCTCTGTGTCCTGTCCCCGATACTCATCTCCTACTCCTACTATCTCCAAACAGCTGTTTAAAAGACAGACGCCGCTGATACAGCCTACTTACTTCTCTGCTTACTTCAGCATTAACGGTGGGCCTCCTACTGCGGTGAGTCTTCTCTGACGGAGTGCACTCAGCAGCTCCAGTGCGAAAGGCTGCAGCCGTCTGACATGTTCTCCTCCTCTCTGCTGAAGCCGGGACGGTGCTGCACTGATCAGCTCCGGCAGTCAGACGGGGGGAAAAGCGCAGAGGGGCGGCAAACAACAGCATCATTCACACATTTGCCCTTGCTTTCAGGGAAGTGCTTCCACAGTCTGTGAGTGAACTCCTGCAGGCTGAGGAACAGCTTCCTCCACCAGGCTGTCAGATTTCCTCAGTTTCCACAAATGTATATAAGTATGATATTTTAATATTTAATATAATATTTTAATATGGCCCATGTCCTACATGTTTTCTGTGTCTTGCTTTTTTCTAAGGTCTGCTCATCACCTTTTGTGATTTTAAACACCAAAAACACATTATTCATTTTGACATTACCATTTTCCAACCTCTTTTTATCCCTTAGAATCAATCAGGCTGTTTTTGTTACTGTGTCCCTAGAACTTTAGAAATGCTGTTGCTGTCCAAAGAAAAAAATGGCAATTTTACAGTAGAAGGCAAAAATGTTCTTTATTTTAATGTAAGTTGATGTAAATAAGTTTTATTCCAAGCTAATTCTGAGCATTTTCGTTTGTCCGTTCATCATGAAATTTAAAACACAATGACAGCTGCTGACCTCAAATGATGTAGAAGGCAGTATGTAAATTAGCCCTGTTCTGTTTGGCCGGTATTGAGCTTTATTCAAAAAGTGGTCCAGGCTGAAACACTGCTTATAACTTCAGTGTGAATGGGTCAGTTAAACCCTTGTAGGCTGAATAGGTGGATATCTGTAAAGGCATTGATTTTTGTGACATCACAAAAACTATAAATTCAGAATGGACCGTTTTTGCAGCATAATTTCCATTTATCAACTGCATGGACTGGGAGGTGAATATGAGGTTTCGCTTGATATAAGCCCTTTAAAAAATCTAGCCAAGTTGTGAAGACATGCCAGAGAAGGGATTTTTAAGAAAAATCTTATTGTTTTATTGTTTAATAAAGAAAATCCTATGCACTGTTATTATAAAACATTTTTTTCAGGTCATTTTGTAGTACATCTATCCTAAACCCAGCTATGAGCAAAATGTTATGAAATATTTCTGTAAAATCTTACAGAATATAGGAATGAACATGTAACAGTTAATGAAAGCAGGTACTCTAGAAGCTGAGATTTTTTGGTTCTGAATATAAAGAAAAGCTGATTTGTTTTAGTAATGAACCACTGCATTACTCAGTGACATCTCAGACAACATGGATTATTGTGTGATTTGTCATTAGTACAAAAAAATACAAATTTGGTAATTCTACTTATTCAGGAAACAAGGTTTTCAGTGAGATATGACCCAACATGATTGTGCGAAGTGTGAGTGGAGCTAAACCATCATTAAAGTTGCGAACTTGCTAAATATATTTCTGATGAGTTCTGACATTTGTTAAAATTACAGTTTAGGAGAAGACATGTTATCAATCAAATTACCTAGAACTCTGAAATGGTTGGTGGTACCAAATTGTCATTTCTGCCTGTAGTGCTGTGCCTTAATCAGCCGAGACATGTTTGTTGTCTGAAGTTTGCTTCTTTAGACTTTAGAACCCTAAAGGCAAATTGTACATTTACTTTACAAGCTACTCATATATGGCATCGTTTGAGATGTAAATGCTAAATGTGATGTCATTATGAATTTGGATAAAAAATGTACTCTTTGTACACTTTTCTTGAATTTTTGCATGTACACATAATCAAAAAGTCAGCTCAGATTGTATATATATTTTTTTTTCAAAAATTATTAGAGCAGAGTGTCTGTGGGCTGAAAATACAAGATTCATGATGGTGGTTCATTCTGTGGTTTATTACTATGAGAAAGTGCAAGATTAGCATACACAGGCTAAATTTTTTGTTGGTTTCTCCTCTTGGGATCCATGCTAAGTGCTAAAACGTTCTTATTCAGATGTACTTTATTGATCCTATTATGGAAATTTCTCATTCTACTGCCCAATAATGCTGCACAACAGCACCATGATAAGTGCCAACCAGGCATACCCAGTCCTGGGTTTTGACCCAGCGCTTGGACCAAAAGGCTAGGCTCCAAGCCACCCCAGTTTCATTGGCATGGATATTTACGATCAGCAGTTTATAATACTTGAAATTAATGGAAACTGAAAGACAGTGGAATATTATTTATGGTTGCTCTATTTTTTCTTATTAGTTCATCGTATCAGTGTATGCATGATGTCAATGTAGCTAACAAGTCAAAGAAGCTTATAGCCCCAAGTTAGCATTGCAAACTGTATGCCTCAAGTACACCACATTGCTAAAAACAGTAACTTAGTAGCAGCCATCTTAAAGACTGTTTTTGTCCATACATGACAGTGTCATACAGTTTCAGACATTTGAGCTAAGGGGAAAACCATTTTAGCCTTGTTTCTGGCCCACTTTTGTTGTAACAACAGTAATGGCTTGATTTAAGTGAGCTTGTATTTCACAAAGGTGAAACTCTATTGACTCCTGCTTTGTTTTTTTCATCTTTGTACCAGAAAAGCTGAAGCACAAGAGTTGTCACTGGGCTGCAATCAAAAGCCATACACTACAAAGGAGTAGAAAGTGTCTGTGAGGGTTGTAAAACTGATTTTATCTCGTGAGAGACAACCTTTCTCAGACTGTGACTTTCACTATCAGTATCAAGATCACTTTGTTAATGCTGGTGAAGCCAACATGCATTTCACTGTCCAGCACAACTGACTTATGCCACAATTTGTATTGTTTTTGTTGATAAAGAGTTTAAAACCTGTTTGCAATGTATTAAGTGTGACATTACTGCAAAATACTGAGGTACTGTCTGTTTCCAATGCTTTCCATGTTCTCACTAGAATAATTTAAAAAATTCTGAGAGCAAACAAAAACAAAAGGCTTTTCTTGCAGGCCAAGTCTGGGACAGCATAGCACGCAGACTGTGACGTCTGCTGGTAGGTGGCTGAACATGAAATGTACAAAGAGAGAACACGTATCAAACACATACACACACTTTCTCTCTCTCTTTCTTTCTCTCTCTCTCACACACACAAACACACGCTTACTTGAACATTTTGGGAACCACATAGTAACACTTGGCGCCCAACAGGCTAAACCGTTGTGAAATGATGTAAAACATTGTGAAATAGTAGGCATAAAGATAATGGGGTTGGAGTTTTTATTCACAGTGGGTTGGAATGTAATCAGTTTATTTACAAAATGACCATGATAAGGGCCCTCAGGCTGATGATGAAGAGGGCGTGATCCCTAATGACCATAATAGAGAAAACCTTAAACCCTATTTCAGAGCAGCTCTCATAATAACAGCTCTCAAAGTTCATACAGGGTTGCGTCTGGCCACATAGTAGTGTCTGAACTCAGTATTTAACATCTTCCTCACCCCCACGTGCTGGAAAAAAAGACGACATTAGAAAAGCAAGCATTGTTCGTCTAGTCTGCTCTCTGAATCATTTTTGTAGACATTTAATTATGTAGCCTATGGCAGTCTCCGTTTACATGTGTATGCAATTTATGTGTGTATCTGTTACCTAAACTACAGGCTAATGTCTATTTTTATCAGCATGTAGCTTAAGGGGCATTATGGCCTAAAACTAGAGTTTTGCTCTGTGTGCTACACAGTACTTTTTAGCATAGCATTATATCCCATCAGCCTCATCAGTTTGACAGAATCCACAATTTCACTGTTTTCCTGTGTATGTTCAGTGTCTCTCACTACAATATTCACCATGTATTACACAAATACAACATTGGGAATCCCTGTGGTGCCACCCAATCCTGACTGCTAGCCTAGCCACTCTACAGGTTAGTAAATATATAGAACCATGGTACCATTAGCGTAAAGTTCACTCTTACCCTGGTCATTGAAAGCAGTGATTATATATTCATTCAGTGCAAAATGGACACCAGGTCAAGTTTTTTACCCTTTCAGCCAGAAAAAAGAGGCCCAACAGACCTAAGCTACCTAGTTTTAGCTTTTAGGTTGTTGTCCTCATATAACAGCATCCCATTTTTACAGAATTCACAATATAATTTTACATTTTTCTTCAGTAATGTTCTCTCACTACAATATTCAGCATGTATATTATGCAAATACAACATACAGTCATGAATTCCTTGTGTGTCAACCAATCCTGACTGCTAGCCAAGCTAGCATTAACTCTTAACTCTTACCTAGATCATCAAATTAAATCAAGAACTCATTGATTTTGTCTTTATTCAGCAAAACATTGGATGCTAGAGTCAAGTTTTTCTTATTTCTCATAAGGAAAACTGCCTTTATTCAGCACAAAATGGATACTAGAGATATCCTTTTTACCCTTTCAACCAGAGATAAGAGGCCAAACTGATGTAAGGTATAAAGCTACCTTGCTAATTTTAGCTTTTAACTTGTTGTCCTCCTCATCTGATGAGTCATTTCTGCCGTTTGAGTCATCCATTTAATCCATGATAATAAACGTTTTAGGACAGTTATATGGCTGCAATAAGGTAATCCTAGCAATAAAATAAGCTAATGTTATCTGCCTTCCTTAAGCATTCACCAGCTAAAAAAGTACATAAATAAATATACACTTTAACTGCACACCCCTAATATCCACTCCAAAGCACTTGTAGTTTTCCAAAAGTTCTTTCCACCTTCAAGACACATCATCAGAAGGGTGTTTTCCTAGTCTTTAAACCATTACATTTTTATTTAGGAAACACTGCAGCATCACAGTAGATTCATGTTTACAACAGATATTGTTTTGTCCATTTTAGCCAGAATGTCCTTTTAAAGATTTCAGACTCCAAAACTGACTTTTATTTGCGCAGTTATTTCTGCGCAACGTCGGCGCTGCGTTGACTTTCATCAATGCATCTTGGGCTGCTTTCACCAAAATAAGCTGCATGCTGGGAGCGCAGGCCACGGTTATATCCTCGGTCTATTAATGTTATTACAGTAATGAAATAGTTGTTATATGACGACCACAGAACGGGCTTCTAAAATCCTGTGCTTTTCAATAATGGTTCCTTCTACCGCTACTTAACCGGCAGCTGGATATAAAGCGCTATTAGAATGGCGGAGGCAGAAGGTAAGCAGCCACTGCAGGGATCAGTTCACCTGTTTCACATCCTCCATTCCCTCACAGCCCTTCTGCTTATGAGGCAGAATTCATTTTACAAGCGTGTTATTGCCTTTTTTCCTGTGTCCTGTCTGCAGACTGGTTGTTCTTTCCCCAGCTGACTCTCTGTCCACGAAGCTGAGCTCGGCTTCATATTCACCAGCTTCTTGTTCGAATTTTCCCGTTCCACCTTAAATGGCGCAGCATTTACATTTAGATTCTGGCACCTCAGAATGCAACTGCTGCACCATTTAAGGTGGAACGGGAAAATTCGAACAAGAAGCTGGTGAATATGAAGCCGAGCTCAGCCTTGTTCGTTCGTAAGGCCGTCGAGCTTTCGCTGACGTTCACGCTGTTTTTTCTGGAGCGACAAATGTCTTTATTTTCTT